AGCTATCAATAAAACTTCTTTACATTGATCAAGCCTAACACGCATTGAATCTACCATTAAGAGACGTGACACTTCGACAAGCTCAGTTACACGCCCTACGCAATCTGCCAACAATAAACCTAGCACGGCTTAGTTTATCCACAGTTGGAAACCAACCGTCACAATTAGCAGATTGTATAGGGCGTAATACTAAGCTTATTGGAGTATTATATCTCTTAATAGTAGATTTAATACGTATTAGGCTTAATTAATATAAAGAAGTTTTAATTAATAGCTAGTAAGCTAAGTTCTATCTAATGCTAAATAAATATATATATATACTTGTATATTCTTAAGCAATCAGTGAGGTCTATTGCTGGATCAGTGGTAATCTGGACGGATCAGTACTAATCGTATTGGATCAGTTATGATTCCACGGTCTTGGCGCTGATTGTCTTTAGCGGGGGTTAAGATGATTGGTAAGGAAAGTGGGGTACACGTGAGGGGCCTGTTGGTTCGTAACATAAATAGCTTAGTTAAATATTAATATATTATTAATATAAATAAGGGGTAAAATAGTATATTATTATTAAATACTTATAAAAGCTATAAAACTCTAAGCCTTATAAGTAAATAATAATTAAAATACACTTTAAAAAATATATAATCTTATTAATATTATTATTTATAAAAAGAATATTAAAGAAATTCTTATAATTACTTAATTTATTAAAAATATTTAATAAAACCCTAGGTAAGCTTTTTTTTATATTTTACTTAATATAAAGTATTTATATTTTACTATTTAACTTAGTTTATAAAAAAAGTAAATAAAATTAAATATATATTAAAATACCTTAAGAGTATTATTATATAATAATTTTTATTAATCCTTAAAGATTAAATTATTAAGAAAATATAAAAAAATAAAAAATTATAAATATATATAATTTATATTTATAATATAATCTTTAAGAAAGCCTTATATTAAGTATTTAAAATTACTAATAATTTAAGACTAAGTTACTTTAAAATAAATAAAATTTTTATATATTATATTTTATTTTTAAAATATATAAATATAAATAAGACCTAAGTAAGACTAATAAGAATATTATTAAATATAATAAACTTATAATTAATAATTTACTATATAAGTAATCCCCTAATAAAAAAGAAAACATATTATAGTTTACAATTTGCCATATTAATAACCCCTAAACAAAAGAAAGACAATATATTAATCAGGTCCACCTCTCCTACCATAAAAAGGTCAATTTAGCCCTTGTAATAATTTTCCTCCTAACAGTATAATCTTTTATTCTGATCCCGGACCGTAAAACCAGATACTCCAAATTTATCAGGCTTTGTTCCCGCTGCATCCAAAAAGGTTAATGGCGCATCGGCTCCTTGCTGGGGATTATTAGCAGCCTGTAATGGCTTGAAGCCCTTGCTCTTTGCCTTATTATATGCAAGTGTTACATCTTTCGGCAGATTAGGACTGCTGTATAAAGTGCATGACCGCTTGCCGCTATCCTCTTTCATAAAGGTATGCTTCCACACCCAGTTCGTACACCGGGTCGGCAATTCTAGGCACTTCGCGGCGCAGTCGCAGGCAGACCTAAACCCATCCTTAAAATAGAAGTGTAGCTCCGTGACAACACCTGTCATATCAATACCCTGATAATACCGGACGCAGCCGCCGTTATTATTAGGAGCCTGTAGAGTTGGGAAGCGCCCCTTAGTAATCTTGCCTTTGCAGATTGCCCAGTCGGAGTAAGTGTTGAAGTTTGGGAAGATGTCGGCACCTGAGTCCTGGTGGCTATGGGAGTCGAGGGGCGTTGCCAGGGCGGTGGAGGCGATAAGGAGGGAGAGAGTAGTGATAGTGAAATGCATTTTGGCGAGTGGGCTGCTTTGATGAGTGAAGGAAGAGATAGTGTCAGCGAATTAGTGAACTGCAGTCTTGATAGAAGATTAATCCTGGAGAGAACGGGGCTATTTCGTTTCATATCCTGATGACCGTTATTTATACTTCTCGATTGGTGAGCAAATCTGGCTAGGTTATTTTGGTTTGAAGGATCTTTAGTGTATACCTCCAACATCATGATGACGATCCGCAGTCAGGAGGCTTCGTCGGCCGACTATGATTTATGCTCTGGCCTATGAAGCAGGGAGGAGGACATTCAGAAGACTTTCCGCCATTGCAGTTAAATCGGCCTCCTTCTAAGAACTGTAATTACCAAGGAAATCTATTCATAAGGTTAGGCTATTCTTAGGATAGCCTGTCTAGAGGCTTAAATCTCCTGTTAACAGATGGTCTGGTAGTGCATCTATATACAATGTCTGGTGAGACTGCGGTAGCTAAGTGGATAGATACTAAAAAATCTAAAATTTGGGCATAATTGCGTCACTATGAATTACTTTAAACTATAACACCTAGATTTAAAGGATATCGGTACTTTCCATCCAATTACTATAAATACTTGAAGATAATACGAGAGGCGTTCCGTCTTATGATTGGCTATTATTACACTAGAGTTCACTACCATCCACTACACCTGCACTCGGATATATTCATTCCGGAAGTAATGAAAGGCTCCTAATATGTTAATATATTTTACAGCATCCAAAGGTTAATTAATACGTAGAATGTTACTTGGAAGTGCGTATATAAATGATTGGAGAACTTTACCTACTGGGATTTTGGCAGGGATAGCTATTCCAAAATGGCCCTCTAGAGGGAGGGCCAAGACTAGCAACCCAAAGACCAAGAGCCAAAAATAAATATCTACTTCACTGTTTTACTCGTGATGATTGGTCTTTATTAAAACTTGCAATGCTAGGAAGGTTACGCCGCCCGTATGTCTATCGCTTTTTTCTTTCGCTCGCAAACGACCTAGAATGTGGGGAAGCCTATGCAATCCTTAAACAGCCATGAGGCGTCGACCACACTGCATGCCACGTATAACCGCAAGCTGTCTTAGCGACGAAGGATGAGCTGTTTAGTCATGATAAAATAATCATCTAAGCGTTGATTTATAAGGAAGGATTATAGCAGAGAGGAATTAAGTATAAATATAACAGGAGCTAATACATAAGGCATATACCTAAAACTACTTAATACGTTATATTGCCAGCTTTTTAGATTTTTTTTTCTTTTCTTTTTTCCCTTACTAAAGTCATGTGCTCTGTGTCAGGGGAAGATAAGGCCAAATAGATACATAGGTCCATATAGTCACGGGTTGGTACACAGAGTTAGTAATGTCTAGTGTTATTTCCCTCTAATTAATACATCTTAGTGTTAAGGAAGCTAATATTTATTAAATCCTTCCTTAGCCACTATTAAAAATTAGAAGCTATAATAGAATTAATTATATAAATAGTTAACTATCAGCCAACTAAATACATTACTTAACCTTTATATAATAAATATATAGCATCTAGCTATTGCCTATAAATTAAGAGCTATAACTAAAGCTTCTTATAATGGGTATTACTATATTAGAGGAAGTTTAGCAGGATTGGAATCTGATGCATTATGATAGTTGAAATAAGAATACTACAAAAGGCCTGCAACTGAATAAATCGACGAAGCAAGGCAAGACAAAGTAAGCTCCCCGGCGAATTTGCTGCTGTTCACAAACCTCCACCGTTGATCAACCACCCACTCCAGATAATTGGATGTGGGGATCTCCGCGTCGGGCGGATGAAACTATCCGACGGGGAAATGTGAGGAAACGGATCCAAACTTAGCCGGAGAGGGTCGGCCGCCTCTAACTTATAATTAACCCTCCAGTATCTATTTCGCCCCACTTGACCTCACGTATAAGACAATTACACACGCTTGCCTTAAGATAAAGCAAAAAAACTTATCAACCAACTATAGCAGCTTGACTTTTATTGCAAGTAAATGTTCTTGAGAATCAGTGCGTATAGGGGTTATTGATACGATCTATTTATGTACTGCATGATTAATATACTATGATTGGCAAGACGGGTAAAGTCAGACAACAGCCGCGAATAGCAAGCGACTGTACGCCTTCTCAGGCCAGAGCGGGTGGGCGATCCCCGGCAGCACTCCTTCCAAATAGCCAAGTCAGGTCAATCCCGAACCTGCTTAAGCGCATCTTTGATAGCGGACCTTCAGGACGGCTTTTGGCTCAGTCCAGGATGTAGCAGTGCGTGATGAACCTTGTTGCACTCCTTTGGAAAGCTTCCCTTGTGGACTCCAATTTCTGGGCGTCAAGGGGCGGCTCACACCATGGGGGTGAAGCCTTTTTTTATCTTGGCTACAATGTCTGTATTTCTGCAGTTTGTCTTTCCGGGCCCCTGCTTGGCGCGTTCTTTGACTTAGGTGATCGGCGTTTCTTCGATCACGGCAACCCCATCTGCCGAGCCTCCAACCTATATGGGGTTTGTAAGACAGTAGAGGGTGTCCCTTGCCCCGACCAGGGTTCGCGGCTTGAAGATATCACCCAGTCAAGATCGTTTGATATCGTGCGTGGTTCTGTGTTAGAGGAGGTGGCCTATATGAACTGTGCCCTATCCCTCATGGCATACTCAACCTCTTCGCGTCTCTTAGCAAACCACTTCTCCTGCGCATCTTGACCCATCACTCCATCATGACATCAGCATATGGCATGTTGCTTGCCTCCATAGCGGCGTTGTGTAAGTCGTCCGCCAAATAAACCACAGACTTTCAGAAGAACCCCTCCCTAACATGGTCGTTACCTTGACTCATAGACACCTGCAGCATTTCAGCTCTTACCTCATCCTTCTGTCCCAATAACGGGGACGTCTGTTTCCGTTGGGGTGTCCCCAAGGCATCCGCAGTGTCAGGCTCCGGCAACATCTACTTCCAAATCGAAGCTCCCACCAGCCTAACATGGGCGGGGCTCGGCATAGGCACAGGTATGCGAGGCGCCGCTATGTTCCTAATTTATCAGAATGGTGACGGCAATATCACTCTGAGTACGAGAACCGGACGCGGCCATGTTATGCCCGAATACACAGAACGTAGCGAGGTCGAGCTGCTCGCTGGCTCTGGCGTTAAAAATAATAAGATGATTGCAAATATTCGATGCGGCGACTGCAGTAGCCTGAACCTCGAAGGCTCCAACTCTTGGATCGCCGCCTGGAAGAATGGCAACCCGCTTAACTCCACGAGTCTTTCCGCGAGAATCTTGGAGCATGATGGGGACAGCAGCTTCAATATCGACTTTGCCCAGGCGTCAATGAGCTCGGACAGCAACCCCTTCACGTCTAGCAGTAGTGGAGACTCAAGCTCCAACTCCGAGTCTGATTCTGATTCTGACTCCGGCTCTAGTAATGGTGCTATGTCAGAGACAGAGTACAGTAGCACGAGCGATATAGTGCTCCGTGCCCATGGAGTTATCATGTCTATTGTCTTCCTCGCCGGATATCCCCTGGGAGCCGTACTCATGACTATGATCGGAAAGTGGTTCATTCATGCCGGCTGGCAGGTCATTGTTTTCGTGGGTATGTGGGCTGGCTTTGCCCTTGGTTATGTCTATGCCCGTAATGATAGTGATGTAAGTGATACAGATGCACTAGCCCCATAGTAAAGCCACGCGTGCTAACTATATTTCTCTAGTGGTGGAAACAAGCTCACACAATAATGGGCACCATAGTCGTTGCACTGATTGGCCTGCAGCTTATTCTGGGTTGGGCTCACCATCGGTACTTTGTGAATCACGGCAAGCGAGGACTCATCAGCCACGCCCATATCTGGTTTGGACGAGTCCTCATGATCCTTGGTATCATCAACGGAGGGCTGGGCCTTCAACTCGCAGGCTCGCCTCAATGCTATGTCATTCCGTATTCTGCCGTTGCTGGTATCGCCGCGGTGCTCTACATCACTGGCATCTTCGTAGGTGGGATGAGAAAGACTGCACGTGTGAAGCAAATTTCGCCTCAGATAATCCAGGATGAGTAGTAATAATTCGGAAAAAACGGGAACATGGAGGAAAGGGAGTTAAAGGGATTTTTGGAAAAGTTTAGTATGATAATGCACTGTGTAAGTGGGCTATCGCGGCCCATATAACCACCTATTAGCTCTTAGGATATAATATAGTAACTGGCTATAACTTAGGGATAGTTATTATTATGAAACTTGCAAGTCTAGGTCTACTGGACTAGCAAAGAGTCAGTGAAATTAAAATTTGCCTTTTCACTAAGGTATTCTCGATTTCTGCTTGCAATTACGGGCATCCGGTGTCTCGGCAAATAAAATCCATATTTTTTATAACTATTGCATGCCAAATACTTTATTAGGGTCGAACTGCACAATATTGAAGCTTGCCACCATTGTAGCCTTTATCTAAGTTTAAATGGTTTGTTAATAATCCGAATGTCTAGACCCTCTAGTTGCTTCCCTTGTTTATGGTTCCATCTAAATGTCAATGACTCTCTATTTATTATCCCTTGAACTTAACACTCCCTAATTAAGCCGCGGCGGATACCATACATTCCACGATAGGAAAGGATTACATCAAGACGTGCCCGCAGCGCATTTGTTAATAGTTACTTTATGTTTGGTTAGGAATGGGGATAGGAAGAAGCCTTTTAATGCTCCACCGAGCAATAACAGCCTAAATCCTTATCCGCTGACCTTGGCCGCTGTATGGATTATATAGAGACCTGTTCTCGTTAGAATTTCGGCTTGCAGATATGAGAGTTGAGGGTTGAACCTGACTCTCCAGATTATGATGTCATGAACCCCTTGCAAATAACAGTAGCTAATGGGTAAGAAGAGGTTATGGAGCTTTAATTACTATTCGGCTGTAAGGATAATTTCGGGAGTATTCCGGCATCCTAGCCCTAAAAGATGCGGAATGCTAGGATCATGAAGCTCCCGATTGAGGGAAGTAAAAAGAACGGCATGGTTATTAGTGAAAATGAATTTCTTGCGGACAATGATCCGCTTATCGTATTTATAAACATGGGGACTTCAATGATTATATACCGTGCTTTGAAGTTGAGTTCCTCCTCTTGGTAAATCTCACAGATGGGTCGGGAAAAATAAAGAATAGGTAAACAACGGCTTGATATCCTTGTATAGCAAGGACTGCGTCTACCCTCGACAGAGGTTGGTTTTGTCTTAGCAAGTAACTTACTAAACTCTTAAATAAGTAAAAGTCTAGAATCCCTTCTTATATCGCCTATAGCTAAGCATCGTTGGGAGTGAACTCTCCATCCATCCGATCAGCTAATTGTTTAGCAGAAAGAGACCCCCAAGTGCAGTCCCGTCTGCCAAATTGAGTCTAGAGGTCTGAACATTGAAAAGGCTGGCTATCGAGTTCCACATCTGACAGGAAAAATCTAAGTTTCATAATTCCAGCGCCTACTAAATAGGACACTTGCAGCTAGTAACAAAGGGACGGCAATCGCAGCACACAGGATCCTTAGCCCAAGTGATGTGAGCGCCAAGGTTATACATATGGTTTAATGAGTTATACTCTGCGTACACCTTATTGACCCTGCTGGTCTTAGGGTTCACGAACACTATGTGGATGCCAAAGGTACGGCCTACGGTCGGGTACTCAGGGATCGAGAAGTCGCCCTTCCAGTAGAAGGTGAATGTATTGCAACCGTAGGTGACCAATCCCTTCTTCCATTGGTTAGGATTATTCTTGCGGATGAGTGCCTTAATAAACTGGGCGCGATTTTCAAAGATTGGAGGGAAACTATCGGTCTGTGACGAAGTATTAGGATATGTCCTCGGACTGGGCATAAGGCTTGAGAGAACAGGCAACATGCCTTGGCCCACTTCTCGATATTCTTCTTAAGGTCACCGCCTACGGCAGTGGTTATCCACCATCGGGTCTGGGAGTATATCTTGAGGTCCTCATCAAAAGTCTTCTTGGCCATCCTGCCTCCGTCTTCGATACCTGAGAAGGTCGAGATGTACTGGTTGAGAAGGGCCTCGAGTTTATCGCGGGGGACGCAGGTCATAGCCTTGCCTTGATACGACTCTTCATTGGTTTCTTCATCGTAGTACTTGTTATATCCGTACTTGGCAATGTGGGGGATGCCCTCGTGGGGATGGAAGTTCTCCGCGTTGTTGTCGGCGTCGTTAGAGTGCTTACGGCGAATGCTGGAGGCCATGGCCGAGAAGGCGCACGCCAGGACGTAAAGAACGAGTGATACCTTCATTGAGAGTTGGTAAATCTTTGGTGCGGTTTCTAAGGTAAATAAGCTGTAAATTGTTTATGAGTCGACTGCCATAATACCTTGTAGTGGGCGTCTCTTTTGAGATACTTATAATCTGGGGTCTTACCGAGGCTATAAGAGCGCCATGGTACTGGCTTGGAGTAACTTTAAGCTATTGAAACTTTAAATGCCAACCTCCGAATAGTTACTGTGGGGAAGTCTAGTTTGTATAGCTGCAATGAGCGAGTTTCTAATTTGAAACTTACATCTTTTAACTCACACTCAATTAGGTACTGGATCACGATTAAAACCTAAAACGAACTTCTATCTCAGTCAAATGAAACTAATAGTAAGTAATAAGTAAAAGGCTACAGTACACTCCCCATTCAACTTACAGCAGTGGGTTCGTGTTATCCGATCCGTGGATTTACACTGCTAATACTTACAAGCCATTTGAGTTTCTCTAGGGATATTCCCTATTGTCCGAAATAGAAGTCTTGGGGTCTTATAAGGCTACCCTAAACCAGACCTCAACTCGTATATGGACGGCTCCTCCCCTTGTGAACACCAATCTAGACGCCCAGGTCTCATCGAGGTGGGCACTAGCTCGAGGAACTGACGCTCACGCGGTTTCTATTAGGCTTTTTTGGCGAGGATCACCGACACTGAGTGGCTTTGGCGATTGGATGTGGTTGATGAATCTCTCACCTGATGTTCAGTGTCTCACATTCGGCGTCATGCGGATACAATCAGGTGACGCATCCGGGCCGTGCATCTAAGTTTATTTAGTAGTTTTGCAGAGGGATTTAGCATAATAATGTGGGAACTAACAGATATCAAGTCACTAAAAATACTAAATACCTTTGTAGAAGTAGTAGCTAGATAATACACTAGGGTAAGAGTAGCAGTCGCCGAGATAGCGGTGTCCCCTGTATAATGAGTGTAGCAGTGGTCTAGCCAGTTGCGAATGAATCTAAAATTGATCGAATCGGGGGGCATATTTGTCGAGCAGCAAGAATCAGGAGCGTAGTGTCCGGACAACAGCGAAAGATGACTTTTGCTTCCAGGTCGATCGTTCTGCTTTACATGACTTGATCAGCTGCCTATGTCGCCTTTTCGGGTCTAACATCTTCCCTCGTATCAGAGTTCTTTTAGCTGGTCAGCAAGATTTGGGATCGACAATATATTGACCAGAATTTGTTCACTTCGCAGGACGGCTACAATCTTACAAACGGGCAGTAAATGTGATGCTTTCAGTTTCAAAGGTTTATAAGCCCTATCCGTACTTTTTAATAAGCATCCGACTGATATATAAGTTCATTCTTCTAACCAAAATGTACATTTTCTTTAAAGGATGCCTGATATCTACAAGCCTTAAGACTAGTCAGCTCGCGTGAGACGAATGAATGCAATTGACAGTAGTAAGTCGCGTGTTAGCGCAGACATTGCGCGCATTATGGCACCGAAACTATTATATGGGCGCCCTTATGGTTCGAGCGCATACATAACTTTGTAGTCCCATGGGACATCGGGTTCCCACGTGAGATATTTTCCTGTTGAAGAAACAGCTTTATTTCTGGACTCGCACTTCGTGCTCCTGAGCCACAGAAATAGAAAGAAAGAAAAATCAAGTAGGGAGCTGAGTCAGACATTTGATACAAGTGACAGAGAGATTCTGCTTTTTAGTTCGGAGCTAGATAAGTCTTTTAGTTTCACTCTCCTTATACTAAATCAGATTCTCACTAACAGCATACCAAAGACCGACAGGTCCACGACTGATGATCGGCGTGTGCGTCTCCGATCCAGCAATACGCCGTGCGATATGAACACGAATACATATGGTTCATATTGCCAAAGACGGCATCGAGGCATAATTCAAAGACCTGCATTCCGAAATGCCTACATTGTTTGTACGTCGACGGGTAGATGCAAAGCTCTTCACATCCATAGTTATCATGTAAGAAGCTGCGCCCAGTTTGGTACCCCGCAATCCCGTGATCGCCATATAATCTTTGCTTATCCTCAACTGCTTATTTACCTTAAATAAGCCACAGACTGATGATCAAGTTGTGGCTTACGAGTGAAGCCAGCGCGGTATTAACCGAGTCCCGCTTTGTTCGCATTCTATGGACAATTCATTAAGGAGGGGGGAAGGGCAGCATTCACACCAGTATACCTACAGTAATTCGGGGCGCTATTTTGTTTGTGTAACACCTCCAGCGGGTCTATTGCCCGCATATATCATCCTCCGTCTCACGACGGAGGAATGCAAAGGCTATGCAAAAGCGTTAGCAGCAAACATCGATTCTAACCATACCAAGGAGCAGCATTCCATGCTCGATCGTCTTATACGTGCTGTCTAATAACAGTACGTTGGGGACTAAAGAGCCAGGATGAGCTAATAAAATAAAGTGGTCCGGCTATGACTATGTCCCGATTCGAAGAGTTCCTCGTCTCGCTGATTAGTGAGCGGATGCATGCAGGTTTGAATTCTAGACTTTTCGTCGCGTAGCTGCGATATAATAGGAGAGCGAAAGGTACATCCGTGATTACAGATGAACCTTATGGCTTCTGCCCCCTCCTGTCTCAGCACGCGTGCTAAGGCTTTAGAAGGTCGCTACTAGTTTTGGAATACAATAAGTAAGCTATGAAGCACCGAGCATTAACCTGTCGACTCTACATTCTATTATAGTATAGAAAGGGTGGCTGGTAGCGGTGAACGGGCTAACCGACCCTCTCTGTCGCGCCCTATTTACCTTTGTCACAGCTCGCTTGCTGCTCAGCACCTATTGCTGAAACGCAGGAGATCACCACTTCGCAAGCTTCCACCATGACGGCTTTCATCTTGTCACTGCCAACCTCATATCCTTTCGGTCCCAAATGCTAAGGTTTCAAGCACATGCTTCACCCTATATGACACTGACTCGCGCCACACAATACGCCAAAAGTTAAGGGTGTAGGCGTCAGCTAGAGGAAGGCTCGGGTAATTTACCCGTGACAGGCTGTTGGGCCGTATAACTAAGACGGTCTGATCTGCCGGTGACCGCGATACGCATACTATGTAAGGAAATATGCTCACCTCAGACACATGTAACTTAGTCCATTTAATAACGCCTTCGACTCCCACAGTATTTCTTTACAATAGGTCTATTTTACCGATGGAAAGAACTTCGTCCCCACTTCTCCATATCATACGCACCTCCAATACACCCCTGGCACATGATGTTGAGCGGCACTGGGCAGCACTTCTGCCATCTGAGTTCATTAACCCTCTTGTCTCTTTCTCTTACAGGGTATTTCCTTCTCTTATCTTAAGAGATAAGAGTTCCCGATATCAAACGCCTCTTCATGACTCATACCACCCGCAATAGAACGGCAGACTGCTTTGTGGGGAGCACAGACCCTGTCGACAGATTAGAGCCTCGGTCCCGTCTTTGTAGCCTCCATCTCCTTCGTCTCTTACCATAGTACTTATTTCCCAGCATATAAGCAGACTATTGACTGTCGTAGCAACGCCACTCTGTATCAAAGGTGCGCCTCGGCTGGCGCTGATTGCTACTCATTCACCAAAGCCGCCCCCATGTCCGTCGGCATATAAGGCCGTGTATTCTCACCCATCTCGCCCGCTCATTGCTAGGCCATGGAGGCACGCTGACTCGAACCCTCTACTCAACTAACCACAACCAATTTCACAATGTCAATGTTCATGTCACTTCCCAACTCCGCGGCAGCTCCTCCTCGCAGATGCTACTCGGGTACCAGTAGTGCATTTGCTAACCATGATGAGGACTGGACCAAGATCTCTGACACTGCTGAGCGCCGACGGATACAGAACCGCATTGCTCAGCGTAACTACCGTACGTTCTCCGCTAACTCCGAGACGCTAACTTACACCGGACTTGGCTCCTGAGGATTCCAAAGCTGATTCCCAACCATAACTGACATAAGCGCTCGCTTATAGGCAAAAAGCTCAAGCGACGCCTCGAGGACCTTCAGCGCCGTGCTAGCTCTGCTGACCCTTCCAGGCCCGAAAAGCAGGCCCAGGAGACCACCGAGTCAAAGCGATCCTTCGAGTCACAGAAGTCGCAGCCCACTACCTCCGGCAAGCCAGTCATCTCTCAGAGCCAGTTCATGCCTCCTGGGGATCCGACTGACAATCTATTCTTCACCGGAAGCCCCGACGACCACTCTTGCTCATACAGCGTTTCCCAGTTCACATACTCAACAAATCCGGTTACTGATAACAACTTTATCACTCCCTTCGATTCCCCTCAGACCTATGCAGCTATAGCTACTACCGACGCCCAGCCTAATTACCTAAATACTTCCGTCACGCCTATAATACCTTCTCCCAGAATGCTATTTAGCAATATGACTGAGCAGGAGCCATACACCAGCGACACTGAACTGACCCCTTATACGACTTATGGCTATATGTCGCCCATGGACTTCAACGCTCCAAGCCCCTACGACCAGTCTAACCCTCATGTGAGTTGTGCCACTCAACGCCTCGCAGGGTAACTCGAGACCCATGTATCTGATAGGGTTTATAGACTCCTCCGCTCTCGACATTTTTGGATAATTCAGCCACCTATTTCAAGGCCGAATAGGAATATCCTATCATTCATCGGTCGATGCCCAATTCGCCCAGGCTGATACGGCGTTGATGCAACAACAAAAGCGGTAGATGATATCGCATGTCATCGCTTCGTCCAAGGATGGAGAAGATAGAATCGAGGCTGAAGCTGAATATGGGTCAGTTATATTAGGCTGAGTAAGTTGCGTCGCGTGTCTACTCTCGCGTTCAAAGTCAAAGTGAAGGTCAGAGGCGGTCGTTAGAAGATCCTGGCGCGTGACGGACGGAGCAACAGACGTACGTGAAAGCTTGACAGAGATGAGAAGGGGGGAAAACGGGGACAGACAGCCCAGTGTATCGTATCAGTCGAGTGGTAAAGTAAAACAAAGGTTCAATGGCGAAGAAAATAAGGCCCGGGCGGATCCATCGTCCGAGGTTCCAAAACGCGGCTTTAATTTCTGGACCAAGAGACGTAAGAATACAGCAAAACATCACGTTCTACCCTACTTGCAGTATCGGTCATCGTGGCTTTTATTAGAATTTTCCTTTAATTAGTCATTGACTTATTCTGGGCTTTGTTTAATGCTTATCCTTCTAAAAAGCGGCTGGTGTTGATAAGAAATATATTCAATAAGAAATATATTCTCTGACAGTTTTCAGAAGCAGGATTCCTTAGGGTTAGGGTTAACTTCATCATCAACTCATCGCTTGCGAGTTTCACGGTCTTAGACCTGGATGGACCTAGCAATGCTAATGATAACAAATCGTCGCCCAGTCGGGGTCCGATGATATCCGACACAGGTTTTGTTTTCCTTCGTTCAAGGTTTTTACCTAAGCTGGACTGCAAATAAATCGCTCTCAACTGCTCAACATCCTCTTTGTATTATCTTTTCGGTCGGCCCATAAGCTGCATTCATCCATAGCGTTAGTTTTCATTTCCAGGTGCGTCTTATTGTGCCTCCTCGCCTTGCCAACCATCGAAAATGCTGGAACTTCACGACAATGTGTCACGTGTCAAACGCTTCAATTTTTTGGGACCACAATTTTTGTCGGCCTTCGTGCAGCAGATGTGTGGCTGCAGCGCGCCCTACTCGAGAAGGGCTGGGCATCCAAGTTGGTCGAGAAGGCGGGTGGGCAACCCGTAAGCCTTGTGGATCCCATCACTGCACAGATACAGCCGTACTTCAATGTCACCTCTCTGATGGCTCTTGGCAGCAGCTTGAAGCAAATTCTGACAATGCTCATCGTATCGGAACAGGACACTCCACCAGCCTCAGCCTTCTTGATTGCACTTTTCAACACCATGTTCAATTCTCTGAACACGCTTTTCTCTGTCTGGGATGTAACGTCACAGTCACCTGTTACCATCCTCAGGTCGCCCCCAATGCTGCTTGGAATTAGCATATATGCGGTTGGTATCTCCGCCGAAATGACATCGGAACTTCAGCGGACGATATTTAAAAAAAATCCCAACAACAAGGGTAAACCATACTCTGGCGACCTGTTTTCTCTTGCTCGGCACATCAATTACGGGGCCTATACACTCTGGCGAGCATCCTATGCCTATACCTCTGCGGGATGGCCATGGGGTCTTCTTACGGGCTCCTTTTTCTTTCATGATTTCGCTACTCGAGGCGTCCCAGTTTTGGATTGATACCTTACACACAGAGTCAGAACTTCATATCTCTCACCTTGACATGATATCTAACCATTTTATAGTATGGCGACCGTTGGGCAGCAATCAAGCCTCGTGTTCCGTATCGTCTGCTGCCATATATTTATTAGTAGTCATAGCGCCTTCGCTGTTGAAACTACCGAGAAGAGCGGAACATAAGGGATACATATCATGGCATGTCTAGCTAGAACGGAGCAACGCAAAGATTAATCGTGCCAATACTCAATTAGTTCACAATAGGGCTCATAGGAGGTTGGTCATTAATACATAGAAATGATCACTCTATTAATGAGATCACATAGTTGAAAAAACACTATGGCAAACTCATAGTAGCACATTAGTCGATTTAGGAATCGTAGCCTTACCCCCAGCGAGATTAGTCCTTGCTGATCTCCTCTCGACTTCGTGGAACAACTAGATAGCAGACGGAGGATCTTTGAGCGCTATACCTACAGATCCATAAAGAATGATCAGCGTAGCTTTGCAAGCTCGTAGTACTGAATAAATCTCCAATACCTTACCAGAGAAAAGATAGAGGTAATTAACCACGTATCCCAGCTGCACTCTTTCATTGATGAAGGACGCATGACTTGCAAGAGCTTTCCATGCAGCAAGCGCTAACGGAGATTCGTGATCATCGACCGCGCGGAGCAGCTCTAAACTCAAGATGAATTGAGGTACGCAGGAGTAATGAAAAGCTCGTAGATCAGAGGTTCCCAATACTTGAATCATTGCCAATACTACAGGCGTCAGCAGAGGAGATATTATGAGAGAACTAGGACTTGATGACTGTAGTCAGGACTAAGGTTCAGACTCGAATGGTCTACCACTGCAACAGTCCTCTGATTGGCCGTGTAACTGATTCGGTTACTTAAAGAAACGCTCGTACTGGAGGAGAATGGATGGATGCTGCATACGACGGCGAGAGTGTGTGTTTCGTATGGCTCTGCGGCCGCGCTCTTAGTCAGATAATTGCGAGCGGCGACACCGTTGCTAACTCTGACTGGTTTCCATAGACGTTTCTCATTACAGGGAAAAGGCTTAGAGAGAAGCCCTCCAGCTCGAGAAAGCGAAGTCTCACCTCTTACATCAGATATTGAAGTTTTATGACACTTGATTGGAGGTCTGAGATGCGAAGCCCCTGGTCTAGAGGGGGCTCTGTCTTTACGTTTTCTGGCGAGTCATAATTCCTGATACATTATATTCTTCATGCCTTTCTGTCGCAGGGTAGGCATGGTCTTCGTGGCATCAGGAAATAACTGCCTTAATAACCTAGCTATATACTTTACTTAACTCTCTGGCAGTGAGTAACCCACACTCGGAACAACTAATTAATATACTTTGCTGCTGTACATCACATTCACTTCAGCCCTTTAATCACGCTCAGTGCGATGGCTTGACTTGAAACTCTCTGCTCAAGGTAACCAAAGAATACGCCGAGAATTATCAATCAACAGCAATCAATATTGTACACGCGCTTAAAGAAAAGCGAGTCGCAAAAAGTGAGACTACTGATCCTTCCGGCATAGGGGGACGTGTCTAGATGGAGTGTAAAGAGCATTTCGATGGGCTTCATTCGCACGATCGTGCAAAAATCGCAAGTAGCTACAACGAATACTAGTATCTTCTAGATCCACGGGTGCTTTTTAAACCTTGTGCATACTCTTCGTTTACGGCCCAGTCAAGTTTTTGAGCATTTTGTGACTCGACAAACCGCATCGACCCTTCATGCTTGGACTTGTATGACGAGTTGGTAGAAGTCTGTAAGTGCCAGGCATCCACGTCCTTGCACGAGCAAGCCTGCCACGCACATTAACGACTGTAAGGGACACAAGGCTAGGTATGGGCTAAGGGGTAACTCACGTCGGAGGATTCCATTTGATGGACGACTTAGCCTTGCGAATGCTGCCTTGCGGAAAACAGGGCCCCCAATGTCTGGATACAACCAGTATCGTCAGAGCAACTTACAGTCTCAGCCGAGTTTTGGCGCAGCAGGACCTGCGGTATTGTCAAGAGAGATACAGGCAGAGTATGTGAGAATCTAGCTCCGCTGCAACACCAAGGTCGCATGAGTTGTGTTTTGTGCCATATCGAGTCACGGGCGTTGCCTAAACTCGGAGACAACCTCCGCCTCCCTCCCTGCCGACGTGGCGAGAGCCGGAACCATAAGTGGGACTTACTGATTGCGACGATGGTCGGACACCGACGGTGGTGGTTGTGGATACCGTGCACAGGCCAAGCCGGCCCCGACGAACACCGTGCCTCTAGTTTGTTATGCATTCTTGTTACTCTCTGGGTGCACTATGCGCGCCTCTCATCTCGACTTCGATGGTCGTTCACTCAGGCTTGCCATGGTACTCGTTTTTCAACATCATGATTGGTATATCGGCCGTTGAGTGGGCTGGACTAATGTTAACCTTTTGGCGAAAGACTGGCGCGGTGTACCGAGCGGAGAATTCAGCGGGAGGAGAAGACACGGGTGCAGGTACCAAGGAGGCCTTGAAGTCCAAAGTAACATGGCTAGGTGCTCTTTATTTCTTTACCTACATGGGAGTCGAAGGCAAGTCGAGGATTTAACCTGAAGATGAGGAAACCAGACAACTAACTCTTTGAAGTGAGGCTTGGTGGCTGGATTGTCACATTCATGTTACGTACCCGAAAAGCAACAGCATTCGCAGCAGGTGTTTCGGGTTCGGGTTTCTGGGCCGGCCAAACTCTGGGGCGTGCAGCCCTGGGTTTTGTGACGGAGAGATATGGCGAGCGAATTTGCATCACGATCTATCTTGCCTTTGCTGTTGCCATGCAGCTCATCTTTTGGCTTGTGCCTAGCTTCATGGCTTCTGCCATCGCCGTGGTTTTCTTAGGAGTCTTCCTTGGTCCCATGTTCCCGGGTGCCATCACAGTAACTGCTAAGTTACTTCCCAAGCATATCCACGTAAGTGCGGTGGGCTTTGCAATGTCGATGGGAGGCACTGGCGGAACTATTTTCCCTTTTATTATTGGTCCACTTGCGTTCAAGTATGGCGTCTGGGCTATGCAGCCTTTTATTCTTGGACTTCTAATCGTGATAGCGGCTACATGGTTTTGCTTTCCCCGAATCTCTAGATATTCTGGTGTATATTCGATGGTAGAACTCGGATGCATTTTCTATGTAGCTGCTAAAAGCTCTCCGAGTAGGGTCTAATGTCAATCTCTTGAGTGAATGCAGACCTATGTTGTGTGTGCAAATACCAGTACGTTTCGGCGATCTTGGGAACGTGATATCAGCAATGGCTGTTAGAGCAGAGTGAGGCATAGATTTACATACCGATTCTGGCGAGATCTTGCTGTCTGGCTTGCCACCTCTATTCCAAGCTCTGGAAGCAGGCGTGTTGATCAGGCCATCAATAACAGCATGCGCTACATGGACGCCCTTAGGTCCAAACTCCCTCGCCAAGGACTGGCCCAAGGCTCGCATGGCAAATCTACCAGCAGCAAATGATGAAAACTGAGACGAAGCTTTCATAGATGCTGTTGCGCCCGTGAGAATTAGAGTGGGAGGAGACGGCGAGCTTGCGACAGAATCGAGCAGCAGTGGGACAGTCTTCTGGCCCAAATTGAAGAACCCTCCGCTTGATTTACCGTCAGGACGAGAGATCGATTATTGTGTCGGAATATTCACTTACGCCGCGCCGTTCAATCCAGTTTGGAGATCGTCCAATCCCATTTCCAAAAACGGTTTTCTGGCAAAGCCGGCATTCACATTGTACACTGCTGCCGCAAGCTTGTGGTCCGGAAGAGCCTCTTGGATTTTTTCGAAAGCCGAATCGAGGGAAGAAACGTCCGTCGCATCCGTCGCGACACCAAAGGCCTGTCCTCCCGCTTGTCGGATATCTTTAACGATATCCTCATAGCTCTCGGGCTTGCGAGACATCAACACGACGGGATAGGCCTTGGAGAACCTGATTGCCACCGCTCGACCTGAATGGAGTCAGTGCTGGATTCAGGGGCAGATCAAGTCGCTGGACCCTCTCACCTGTACCAGAGCCGGCGCCAGCAACAATGGCATAGAATCGCTGAGAAGCCATATCTGGAGTCGCTACAATCAACCAGGTAATTGACTAGATAAATCACTGGTCTCTGTGGCCCGCTCTCGAAATTCTTTTGTTGTTCTGGGGTGTTAGAAAGCTACTTAAATAATCTCTGCCAGAATAGCCACGTGCGTCATTGAGTGTATTAAGTAGATTCTAGTTCAGTCGCCTTCTCGGCGTATCGCGGACTGCTATAAAATTGGGTCATTGCTGATTGTGAGACTTCTCCATGGAGCGGGTATGTTCATCTCGGCAAACTCAAAGCACAGGCATGTCACGCAACAGAAGTCTAAACAAGTGTGGTGGTGACATACCATATTTCTCGGGGTCCGACTAAGGCCGTCCGGCTTCAATCCCTCGAATGATTTTACCCCCTCCCCCCCGCTCTACTCCATCTTTGAGTCCCATGCGTCTAGAGAAACTGTAACTGTCAGTTCTGCGATGTATACAATTTATGGCCAAAGCTGACCGAATGCAAGAGATTTGGACCAGAATATCTTTGTTGACAATGCTCGTGGCAGTTTTGGTCCGTTCATTACCTGCCATAGTACTTGTCGACCAACAATTCCGCCTTCGAGTGGGAGACAAACACGGCTTAGTACACCCCAGAATTAGCGAATCAGTCAATTGCTTAGGTCGACCCAGAACTACGCCTATAAAACTTGTCGGTACTATGCTTATCTGACATCTTTGTTGTATGAATTTCACCTAAGTTGGGGATCAAACTTGGACTACCACGACGTAGCGATCTGAGTTGCTGGTCAAGATGGTCTTCAACTCTTCCGATGTTAGGATAATACTCGCGTTGACCCGTTTCAAGGCCATCTCGTCGTTCGGGGGCCTGTTTGAGGTCTATTGGAAAAAATACGGCTCCTGCTTTGAGGGCACCCAGCATAGCCACGACAACCCAAAGAGACTTGTCGAAACACACAGGCACCATGCTACCAGCTCCGACTGCCAAAGAAGCCAAGTAGGTCTAAATAGCTCTTCCCGACCCATGAGCACTTAGTGCCTGCTCCTCAGTCAAGTGATGTACACAAGCCTTAATTCGTTGGGGAACTTATAAATTCCATGTCCATACCTTCTCGAGGTTAAGACCATCAAGTAGGTTTGAGTCGGATATAGTGTCATGGGCGTTGTTCATAAGGAGCATATAGCAGTGATAAAACATCTTAATTAATACCTTCTTAGTATTTATATCTTTAAACCTAGGCCTATAGCTATAACACCACAAGAAACTGAAAAAACTTTAATAAATGATATATTTAGGCTTTTAGAGTATAGTTCTGCGTAGTATATTTTCTCTTTAACCTATAGCCTCTGTACTCCCTACTTCCACTCAACTTTAATAGGGTCATGATTTCTAGAGAACTTTTGGCCCCGGAACCACAACTCAAAGCGTATATCAGCTGGAGCTACAATCACATGTATGTCAAACTTGCAGTTATAATACTTGTATCCTTCACTAAAACAACAGAAACCACGCTTCGCTTTTAGCTCAAGCTCATGTTCTTGGACGCCTGTGAGGTCGCTTTTCACATTACAGAGTCTCTTAACACCCGCTGTTGATCAGAAGGGTAGAAGACTTAGTTAGCCGGATTTCTGATTTGGAGTCTAAAGGCATAGTTTATTTGCCATCCTGGCAGAAGCCACAAGCACATACCTTGCCGCAGACTTCGAGGGAGGACATCAACCTCGCTCCGCGAAATGACAATCTGGGAGTTCCAAGACCTACTTGTCTCGCCTGGCTTCAATCGGATAGCAAACTGCTTCACCAACGGTTCATTCGGGTCTACCGAGTCCCCCTATATCCTAAGTAAGTATAATTGGAAAAGCTGTAGGCGGAATTCTCGAACGCATACCTTGCGAATAATCCACTGGATCTGGTTGACGGCCCATCTTTGACCAGGGTCATGGTCATCCTGCACAACCTCCTCATTAAAGTGACGCTCTGGGTTGTATATCTCGCGGACCACGACACCGTAGCTTGCTCGAGCGATGTATGAAGCCAAAACTGGTTTGTTTCCTGTTTCTATGCGCTGCTTGTGATCTTGGAGGAGGCCTCTTACAACAGTAGTTTGCGGGAATCGACTAGGAATGACAGAGCAATTGCGAGCGCTGGGGTGGTTGAACCGGTTGAGGTGTTCCCGAATGCGCTGTTGCACATATTCAGAGCTGCCCAATCCTCCAGAGAGAATCATGCGTGTCTATGATTTGTATCAGCGGGAAACTAGAGTGTTGGCGACTGGGAACCGTACCACTTGCTCAGTAGGTTTGTTCTCCGCCATCCAGTCTAATTGTTCCTTGATTATGTGTATGATGCGTTCGACATGAGGATCGAAAAGGGCTTGGATTTCACCACTATGTTTCAGTTAACTCATCGTATGATGTAGCTGAATTCTCTGTTGGAACCAACCTATCGAACATCATGCGTCCTTCTTCAATTCTAAGCCCCCCATGGCTAAAATTATATGGCAGGCCAGGTACTGGGATCTTATAAACTGGGGAAGAAAATGAGGTCTCACCAAAATGGTGCTTGACAATCGTGAAACGATCACTCATCATCAAGGTACCAGGGAGATCTCGATAATCATCTAGTACGCCCGGGTTAGAAGATAGTCGGTGCTCGACCAGATTCGCGAAAGCAGAGTCAATGAGAGTTGACCCTGTACCGATGCCGCTGACCTCGGCGATCTGAGATATCTGTACAATGTCGTTCTCAACAGAAGTGACACGGACTAGTGAAAGGTCTGTCGTGCCGCCGCCAGCATCAACGGTCAGGAATATGTCCCCAGTTCCGAATTCAACGACGCCGCTCTTCAAAGTGTCAACAGCCGCGGCCTCGGCCTCTGTCAGATCGATCTGTGCAGAGTGTCCAGGGCCTTCAGTACCGAATCCAGCGTCACGGATGATTGATCTGAATGTGTTGATAACTTCCATACCTTTCCAAGTTGTAGGTACACTAAAGAGAAAGACAATGGTCGAGCTGGCCCAGTTCCTTACTCCAGTGCTTCGTTCATAAGTGCTCTTCACATGACGGTAGATGCCTCGAAGGTAGTCGGTAATGCATCTTGCGACGTCTTGAGTGCTCCGTGGAACACAAGTCAAGCCTCCTTGCTTTGCCTCGTCATGGGTGGCTTGATCAAGAAACACCTTGAAAAGTCGACGTTCCGTCTTCCCATATGAGAGATGAGAATCAATAATATCACATTGGAACCCCCAAGAGGAAACAGTATTGTCTTGGTTATAGACCAGACGGGTTGGAACTTTTCGTTCGCTTTGCTGCTTATTGCCTGGCCAGTTATCCAATATGTCGATGGTGCCAGTGGAATATAGCAAACCGACACCTTTCAACTGGTCAGCTACTTGTAATGTATCTATAACGATATAAAGAATTCGTCATCTCACCTGTGAAGGTCGTGCCAAGATCAATGGCTACTGTGGCATCTGGCCTTTTAGTCATCCTAGGAGCACAAGAACGGCACTCTGCCTTGCGGTTTCTTGGTTGGGGTAGTGTAAAGATTGTTGGATAGGTTAGCGTAACGCAACGCCAGAATGTATTGGAAATGAATGAAACTTGGTGAGCGAAGGTGAGGAGTAATTGAATCCAAGGTGCAGTCTTATAAACGTTTTTACTTGTTTGTCAGCGGGACTAGAGGGGAAATGCCTGGGTAAATCTAAAAATGGTTGTTTATTAGGGTCCTCGGAGAAGTACTGTGATGGATGAAACGCCTCTTTCACCAAATGCGGCTTGCAAAAGGCCTAGACCGTCTCGAGGCGGCGTCGGTCACTCAGACAAGGCCAAAGCCACGGCAACAGGCCTGGTACTAGTGCTTATGGCATGCTGTCCTCAGTTGATGCATTCGCATGGCTGAGATGGAGAGTTGACATACTACATCAAGAATAACTGGGGGTTTTCGTCACGCCGCACCGACGGCGTGCTCCCTTGTCGTGCTATAAGACCCTTGGTATTTGCTCACATCGATGTCCCTCTCACTTGCCTTAGACCTGCACATTGCTCTTCTTGTCATAATGTCACCCAGAGATACTTCCTCCACCTCTTCTAGGACTACCACAAACCCGGATCCTTCCCCTTTTCCTTTGGAGCACGGGGAATCAGGATCTGCCTCCATTTCCACGAGTACAACAGACTCGAGCCCTACCTCCGCGTCCAGAACTCTCAGTGGATCAGATGCCGCTAGCGCCGACCAAACCAGTCCTCAGGAAACAGGAGATAAGGGGAATAATCGGATTGAGCCCGGTGCTGTTGCTGGAATAGCCATTGGGTGCCTCTTTGCTGGTATATTTGTTGGTATTTGCTTCGCATGGCTCCTTCCGCGCTTTACTAAGCGCCGTCCGAGGCATCGCCGGGCAATCCGTATCGTCCGCGCCCCTAAGAACCCCGATACTGACAGCCCAGGGAGTATGGAGTCAACAGACAATAAAATCAAGGTGGAAAATTTCATCTTGCAAGCAACACCCGACAGAGAGGTTGTTGGCATGCTGCAGCGGCTAGAAGTTATCATGGAGCAGCACATCGAGAACCACTACCACGTTAAACCGGTAGACATCGGTGTATCAGTTCTGGCTGAGCAGCTCACGAATCTGGGCATCAGCCAGGATTCCTCGGGGTTCGAAGCTGAGGCTGTCGCTAAGTGGTGTCTGCATCCTACTTCTCGTCGATTGGCCCTTCAGCATGTTGTCTCGCATGTTCTTTTCAACAGTATTGACTGCAACTCCCGGAACGGCATATCATTGCTCCCAGGACCTGCAATCAGCTTCCTCCGGTCTATTCCCCCAATCGATAAGTCTCGAGAAGACTTTAATGGTAAGATTCACTATGGCATCTTTTTGCGCGCTTCTTAACCTGACGGCTAACCCCTCTTCCTCCTCCTAGTTATGTCATTCGTCTTGACAAAGTGGCGTACCCTGTCCGCCCTGCTACTTCATCCCAACCCCAGTGAGAGAACGCCCCTTGAGGTGTCTGAGCGTGCAGTGAGACATCAGGCAGAAGAGCTTGTTGAGGAACTGGATCCATTTCTCCACTGTTTCGTTACACCTGATCGAGATAACTTGCAGAAACAGCGCCACCACATGCATTCCATCATCGTTGAGGCGGCTCAACTCGGCTATGCATTGTTTTCTCACACTGGAGACTGGCGGTTCATTTACAAAGACATAGGTACACCGAGGGCTGTCGTTCTCTGCATCGGCTTGCAGAAGCTGAGCCATCGGGATGGGCGTCGACTCTCGTCACCCCAGCTGGTTGTGGAGCCACGTCTGGCTACTGTGTAGTGCCTAGTAGATTTGAAGCCATATTCCTTATATTCACAGTTTTTAATTGTCGGTATTTCACAATCATCTCATTCACAGACTCATTTTAATTGATCCACTGCGGCTGAACAGCCTTAGTACGACACAAGGTGCTTACTTGGCAGCCTTGCCTTTGGGGCCAATAAACAGCCACATGGCGCCACCTTGTCGTCGAGCTGAACTGTGTATCGCCCGATCATTATGAAAGCCACTCGAGCTCCGTAGCGAAACGGAAGGCGGCTGAACAGCCCTAGTACGCCACAAGGCGCCTAACTGGCAGGCTTATGTTTGTGGCCAATAAACAGCCACATGGCGCCGCCTTGTCGTCGAGCTGAACTGCATATCGCCTGATCATCATGAAAGTCACTCGATGACCTCCGTAGGTAAACGGAAGTCAATAGAATGGCTGTAACTTGCAAGGCCCTGAGAATACTTTGTATCCCGCAAACGGGTATGTTACCCTCGTTCCTCTTCGCATGATCCCAATACAGTATCCTATCTTCCATCCCACCAGACACGGAGATCTTCTTTCGGAAAGCGACACTGACGTATCACTCGTACGCAGCCTAGAAAACTCTCGACAACCTCAACACCATTCCCCGAAGACACACGCCTGCTGCTATGGCAGAGATTCTTCCAGCTGTGGGAGCCGTAGCTGGAGTTCTTCGCGTGACATATCAACTGATCACCCTCGCCATCGAGAGTGGCCAAGTCAGTGATGAAGTGCGCCGGAGCCTTGAGCTGGTCCGCACCTGCGAGCGAGACCTTCAGCACCTTGTCGGGTTGCGCGAGGAATATCTCGATATCCTGGAGCGAAAGCCCATAGAGCTTGATCGCGTTAACACCATCATCCGGGCCGCACACCAAGGGCTCGCCGAAGTATGCAAGATTGTAGAGAAGTGCAGGCCAGAGGCAAACCAGGGCAGGATACCCTTCAAGCGCCGGTCGCGGTGGATTTTCCTTGACTCTACAGATTTCTACACACAGATACCTGTGGTCAGTGGCCACCATCGCGCGGTGCTGAATGAGATATCCTTTCTGCGGCAGATCGCTCTCCAGGCTCCAGTTCCAGTGCCAGACCAAGTGCAGGGCGAGAAGGTCGGATTGTCGCGAAAGAAATCCGTTGGTATCGACAATATTGCTCTCCTTGGCAACATCATGGGCGGCAAAGCTGGTTAGTATCTCTCTCTTGTGTCTTCTTCTTCTATCCTATCTAATGCTTTCAGCAGCCAGGAGATACTCAGCCCAGGGTAATCGAGATATGGTACCGGATTCTGCTCCTAACGACAATAATGCGCAGTCTGGCCAGCCTTTCCACTCGTCTGCGCCACCGCCATACAGGGCTGCTGATAATGTCCAAAGCTCTACTAGCCAGCGATCTTGGACTTCAACACCAGAGACAAGTGATACACGGTTTGACCAAGGAAGCCGCCAGGAGATGCCATATGGCCAACAGAGATACCTCAACTCTGCAGATATCCAGGCGACCAGGCGCACTCCGAGCACACTACATGACACATTTTGGCCCACTCCTCTCCGAGGATCTTCAGGCCTTAATTCAGATCCTCCTTATAAACCCAGGTCCTTTTATCCGGTATCGTCGCCATGTGAAGAACAGTATAACATAACAGAATTCCAAGCAATGCCGCAAACGATACACCTTGATTCTCTTGGGTCACAGCCTCCATACCAACATCGCGGAATGTCTTCATTTTCTCAGTATTTCAACGCAACTTACCAAGAAAATTCTTTAACGTCCAGCTTTTCAGGGAACGAAATAGAAAGTTTATCTCCTCCGGTATTACAAGCTCAACTACTAGTTCCTCCAAGACTCCCTCCAAGACTCCCTCCAACGAGGTCTCCAGAAGGATGAAGATAAGAGTACACTCTAACCAAGTAGCAGCAGGAAAGCACTATAAAAAGTATTATTAGCACTTATTCTAGTATAGTGGGCAGCCCTCTAGATCAAGCCCCAGATGAACATAGGAATGAAGGAAGCTAAGCGAAACACGCCAGTTGCGGTCTGACTTGTACCAATCACCACTATCATTGGCTGCACGCATGGGGTCAGCAGGCGCGGTGCGATACATCATTGCGCGAAAAGAGGTAGAAAAAGAGTCACGCAATAGAAGCGGCCAGACTCCGTTATCGTGGGCCGCTTATAAAGGGCATTTGGAGATCGCAAAGATGCTGGCCGAGTCCCCCGGCGTTAATATGGACTCGAAGGACGACTTTAGTCAAACACCGCTCTCGTGGGCAGCACACAGCGGACACATTGGTGTTGTATCCTACCTTCTTAGCACATCGCACGATGATCCAGACTCACAAGATGAAGATGATCGAACACCACTCTCATGGGCAACCCATAACGGTCATGCCGCCATCGTCACCCTTCTCGCGTCCCAAGCGGACGTGAACGCGGATACCAGGGACAAGAACGGACAGAGTCTGCTATCGTGGGCGGCTCGCGAAGGCCATTTAGACGTGGTCAAGTATCTTATGGCGCGCCAAGACGTGCAAGTTCATGCTGCGGATAGAAGAGGCTTAACAGCATTGAGATGGGCGGCGTGGAATGGGTATGCGGATGTTGTACTTGTGTTAGAAGCGAAGAGCGTGGAGATGCGGCGCGACGGATCTCACTGTTGAAGACTGAGTTTGAGGGGACAACGGAGCACGTAGAGGATATATCTTCTCTTCTGGATTAGGAAACAATATCGAAAAGTCCAGTTGTATTATAAGTAACTTATTTGTTAAGGTTCTAAAGAAGAGTCATACTAAGGTGCTTTTGGAGTTCATGACAATTTACTTTGTTAACTGTGATCAATAAGTATATGCCTTGCCTAAAATATCTCCAACAATATCGCCAAAGTGACTTCGATTAATCTTGCATGCTTGCATCGAGATGTTTAATATCCAACTCATCTACGGATACATCTGCACTGATCGCCTGGCGCAATCTGAATACGCCAACAGCTATGCCCCGCAGCAATCCAGAGCCCTTTCACCGCCGTTGGACCCGGGATAGGCCCGGGAACATCACCCTCGACATCGGGCAAGTAACAATCCTGCCGCGAGACAACTTCACTGGTCCACAACTCATCCGACATAGCGCCTACATGGGCAATAATGTTATCGTAGGTTTCGCGGTCTGGTATTACAACATCGGCCGTCAGCGGTAGCTCAGTTGAAGCCGTGTCGTCAGGATCGCCTGCTGCCCAGACCGTGTTATTGGGCCTGGTGAAGATTTCGGCTGTGGCGTATTCGGCGCGATGGACACCGGATCTTGCGAGCGAGATCTAGGTGAAGAGAATGTAGCCTGGTAGCGGGTGCAGTCGTGTGGGACGCATTACCACGGTGTTGTCGCAGACCGACGATGGGCGCTGCTGGATAGAGATGGCGAGTCCAGGCCCTACGCAGAGGACTACGTCTGTCGCTGGGACGGTGATGCTTGCAGAGCTGTCGCCCCTTGGAACATAGGTCACTGACTTGATAGCATCGCCATCCGAGTCAATACCAGTCGCGCGACCAAACCCGATATTTGCGCCTATCTCGGTTGCTAATTCGGCCATTGCGAGGTTGACGATCTGAAGAAATTTACACATAACTTGAAGCGTCAAATACGACGGGAAGTCCAGAAATGAGAGAGACGAGAAGCAATATTGGTTTGAAAGCAAGATTAATTGCAGGCGTAGTAAGGACTCTTTTCTCTGCCAGCCACAATGAGCAGTGACATATAGCTCTCAGCTTGGCAACAAACACGGAAGTATCCCCATCATCTCAACCCATGGGCTACATAAATGCTCCAGAAGGGCGATTGTCAATTCTTCCGTTACGTTGTCTGAACCATCATTCCATAACGTTACTCTGGTGAACTACGATAACATGGGATAGCCATGTTGAACGAAGGCTATTCTAGGCTTCTACCAATCCCCCTCTACCACTGCATCCAAGGGGCCCTCTTCAAATTTTATGTTCCAAAAGGCACTCCTGTCCCGAGCTTGCTCTCGCATCGCGCATTAATCTCAACCCAGTCGGGAGACATTTTCAAGTCCATTCACCGTACGGAGTTGGTAGGTGGGTGCTCGAAACCTGTGAAGACTAGACAGACCTACCAAATATCCTCCTACAAACAGCTGTTAGACCATGCCGTCAGTTCAGATTGCAAATCATGACGTACCTGGTAACGGCTCTGCGTCCTCATTGCATTGAGGGTCTTCTGCGCTTCAACCTCTGAGATGCCACGTTGCGCGACCACGATCTTGATCAAGGTCGCTGAAACGTCTCGGGCCATACCTCCAGCATCACCACAGATGTAAATATAAGCACCCTTCTCAAGAAGGTTATTGACCTGCTGTGCGCGTTCGAGGAGTCGATGCTGTACGTAGACCTTCTTTGTGCTATCGCGCGAGAAGGCGGTAACGAGTTCAAAGGACGTGCCAAGGGCCTGTTCATGTTCCTGTGCTATATCAGTAGGTGTGTACAAGATGATTGTCGGTTTTCACCGACCTTCCACTCCTCTTTGTACAGGAAGTCACCTTCAGCCTTCCTGCAGCCGTAAAAGAGTATCGTGTGTCCAAGATCAACATTCCCGCGCCTTGCAACCTCTGCACGTTCCTGTACGAAGGCACGGAATGGTGCAACACCTGTGCCAGGTCCAATCATGATGACGGGCTTCGATAGGTCTCGAGGTAACCGGAATGTCGAACGCCTGACGTTTATAGCTACCTGACCGCCGGCATACCGGCCACGCGGTCCAGAGACTTCGTAGGTTGTCCCGCAAGAGCCGCTCCTTGAGGAAGCGACAGCGAGCAAATAGTTCGTGGTAACGCCACGGAAGGGTATGCCACCTTCGCCAGATTTAGTAACGCTGGAGATAGGCCCTGACGAGACCGGCGTCTTGTTGTCGATCGCAACAGTGATGGAAATTCGTCTCAGGCTGACGAGTGAGGATGAGGATATGGAGTAGTTCCGTGGCTGCAATTTGCTGAACCCTTCAATCCAGATGGAAAATGGAACGTGAGACCACTGCGATTGAGCTGCATTGCTCCCACCCGAAATCTGTTCCAGCAGCCGAGGAATACTATAGTAGCGGCCGCTCGTTCTTTGCGCGAAGTACTCCTTATTCCCCCCAAGAGACGTCAGCTCGACTCGTGCTGCCTCGTTATTCGCGAAAGGCGCCAGAGTCGCGAGAAACTGACGGCTTACGGGGGCATTAATCTCAAGGTAGTAGCGGAATATGGAATCGTAGGTGGTAGGCGTCGGGATTGGTATCTTAGTCGTTGAGACTTGGGCTGACTTGAGGGAAATGACTTCGTGGCGTCTCTCCGTCAGACCAAGAAGGTTGACAATGCGATCTACCTCGGCGCTAGCATTCATAGGCCACAAAGAAACGTGATCGCCAGTTTGGTAGGTCATCTCAGAGCCCTCGATATCCAGTTCGATGTGAAGGCACCGGCGATCTTGTAGCAAGCAGAGCTCTCGGGACTCGCGCAAGGTTGCCAGGTATGGGTTTTGAGCACTGTAAGGTCCTTTAACGCCCTCTCCAAGTCTAGCAGATAGGTGTTTCTTGTTTGGCTCGCCTAGATATACCTGTGGACTCTCTGCGCTGAGGGTTCCTTGCGTGGCGACTTCGAATAGGGGCTTGTACTCCTCCTCCCGCTCCTTCAGATCCATTTTCTTGACCAAAGCTGGCCACATCGTCTCTTCCCACGAGAGGAAATCTTCTTCTGTAGTGGCGGCGGCGTCATCTCCCTCCCCAACAGCGCAGAGTCGATTTGCGTTCAGTTTGCGGAGGCACTTATCAACGTGACGGATGACGTGGTTGAAGTACTCGTAGGTCTTGTTGCCACACCCAAAGGCGACAAAGTTGAGGTTGGATAAGTCGCTATCATTGTCGTTAGAAGTAACGAAACCCCAGAAGCCGGCGGCGTTGTCAGTTGGTTCGCCTTCCCCATACGTAGCCATGACCAACATAACGAGTGTATCGCTCGACAACTTCGAAAGGTCGTCATAGTCGTAATCAGCCATGTCTGCCACCATTGTGTTCAGGCCAAATCGGCTTTGGCTCTTTTTGGCCAGACGCATGGCCAGATCCTCTGCGGTTCCCGTTTGCGAGCCGTACAAGACAACACAGCGGTAGTTGCCCTTGTTCATGACATTAACGAGATTCCTGTCATCGGATCCCGTGTCGGGAGCATCCGGATAGTCTGATTTGGACGATTGGTGGTCATATCGGCCGATGGAGGTTCGAAGACGATCTCGAGTGAAGTAAAGCGTCACCAGAAGAGCTCCAATGACAAGCAGAAAGTCGGAAGTATTCAGGAGGGAGAGGTCCAACATAGTGGGCTGGTAATTCGATGACGGAGGGTTGAGCCATGATGACGAAGGAAAGTTGAATAAATATTCCATAAAGAGGACGACATCAGACCTCAATGTCGATTCAAGATAGAGCCGATATCGAAAGTACAGAATTAGCTATTGTGGGGATATGCAGCCCACAACGCCTTCATGAGCCAAAGGTGGCAGCGTCCAGAAAATTGCCGAAATAGGAAATGTGTAGCGGTCATGACTAGTGTTAACGTATCTGACCACCACTCCACCTACCCCTCCACACCGCCCCACCTGCGAATAGCTTCATTTCCGTTCTAATGCATAATGTAGATTAATTCTTAAATTATAAAAATAGCTTTAATTTAATTAAGATTTTAGGTATTAACTAAAAAACTCTTACTTAATTAATTGCTTTTTCCTCTGCTTTAGTAGATAATTTTCTGCTATAGCTTTATTATTTAACTTCTAAGTGTTTATCTTAGATTAGTTCTTTATTATAATAAGAAAATAGCTAACTAAGCTAGACCTTATTTATTATTACCTTTTTTATAAAGATAAGACTTATATAAGTTTTATATTAATTAAGGACTAATAGTTACTAAGAAAATCAGTTTTTTAAATAAGTCTTAGGCAGATAAATATTATAGAATTATTATAATAATGTTTCTATATTAAATTAGCCTTTTCTATTATAAGTAAACTTCTAATTTAGTATATCCCTTAAAAAATACTATTCTTATTATAATAATCTTATAAATATTAGTATTAAGATTAACATAGTTAATAAGCAAATGCAATAAATAAGTAAGTGTAATAATCTTATTTCCACCTAAAGTCTAGGTTTTAAAAAACTCTTTAAAAATCTAAGTTAAGCCTAAAATAGCTATAATTTTAATAGCTTATATATAAGCCTTAATATAGGCTATATTAAGTTTTTTAAAATTTCTTAAAATTTCTATATAGCTATAAACTTTAAAATCTATTTATACTATAAAATACACTGTATTTTAAGGTTTTATAGATAAAATAAAATAGTTAAAATTTTTTAAAAAATACTATTTAGTAGATTTAGCTATACTATTATAGGAAATAATTTTTATAAATTTTTAACTATTTTATTTTAAGTCTAAATTACTATAAGGTAGGCTATTTTTATATATACAGTATGCTATTACACTTACTTATCTATTGCATTTGCTTATTAACCACGTTAGTTAATAATTATTAATAAATATTATCTCTAATATTAAAATCTAAGTAAAAGTATTTAATTATTTTAAAGTTAAAATACCTATCTAGTAACGCATAAAGTAAAGCCAAAGGTATTAAAGTAAGATAATAAAATAAGGTATTTATTTTTAATATAATATAATATAAGGCATTATATACTATATTAAAAAATATAATAACCTTAATATTAAGTCTTAGCAGATTATATAGCTATTACCTTAAACCTTAAGATCTAATTAAATAAGTAGCCTTAATCTATAAGTATAAAGATGATATTTTCCTTATCTCTAAAAGGCTAAATACCCTCTTTATTATTACCCTATTAAGGTAATTATTACTAAGGCTTTAATATTAAAAGGCTATATTAAAATAAGCTAGGAACCTTAACTTTTATTATAAAATATACTACTATATAATTATTATTAATAATAATTAACCTAGCTATAGCTATTTAATCTTAATAATTAGTAATTATATAATTAGTCCCCTAATAGATATTAATAGGCTTAAGTTTAAGTATATTCTTATTTTATATTTCTTCTTATAGTATTATAAAATTATAAGAAAATACCTATTATATATTAATAAATTACTATTAATATAATAAGTTAATTTAATAATCTTTAGTTACTAAGTATAACTCCTTAATATTAAAAAAAATATATCTCTTATTAAATATATTATAAGCTAAATAAAGGTATTAGAAGACTTAGCTAATTACTTAAAATAAAATTAAGGTATATTAAGGTAATAATAAGCCTTTATTAATAGTATTATATTAGGTAGTAGTAATAGCCTATATTAGGTATAGTTTATAGAATTAAAATATATAATTAAGTTAATTAAATTAATAATATAAATATTTTATTATAAGAGTTAAGGGCTATTATAAGGTAAAGGAGGGGAAGTAAGAGGGAAAAAAGAAAGAAAAAGGCAAATTAAGAAAAAAAGGTTTTAGTATTTAGGGAAAAACTATAAATATTAGTAGACTAAGGCTAGCTTAGCAGGTTAGTAATAAATTAGATTAGGTTATAAGATAATATAGTAAGAGAAATATAAGTTAAGGATAAATATAATTAAATAATACTTAGGGTATTTAATTATATTTTTTCTAATAAGCTTATTAGGATTATTTTAATTATTATATTAGCTATAATTTCCCCTTCTTAGACTTTAGTCTTATTAAGATTATATATCTAATTTATATTAATTAATAAGTTAATAATAAAATACCTAAGTCTTTTATAATACTCCCTTAATTACTTTTTTATAATAGACTTCTTTCTTATAATTAAAATAAGTTATAATAACTTTAATATAATACTTTTATATTATTTAAGGAATTAATTTACTTAAGTTTTCCTTAAATAACTTTTATAACTATTTAATTTAATAAAATACTAAGTATATTTATAAATCTCCATTTTTAATATATAATTAGCAAAATAAAGTGCATATATTATTAATAGCTATTATAGTATTCAGACTATTACCAAATGGGCGGAGTGGTGGTTAGATATGTTAGTATAAAGTATATGCCTAGCGAAATGATCCAAACCGCTCTATGTCATTTGAACACGCTTGATGAGTGTGTGATTTATCCGAGATTTCTATGTTACTGATTTGGGGTATCCAAGCGTCGGTCTCGGTTTCATTTTCTACGGCAGCGGCGCTCGTGAGGCGATATCTAGTTTTCTGTTAGCGCTGTTCTCTTGCACGGCTGATGAATCCCGTACATGTTTTAGTACCTCACCCAAAGGCCCCCAAGAAAGAAATTACCCAGACTAAAGGTGTTCATTTCAAACTATCTGAATCATGCCATCAAAGTATCCCAGCCCTTCTGGATCATAACATCCATCCAGTACGAACTCTTGTGGTCTGCTTCCTTCGGCCAGGCATCCAGCCGCTCCCAAGTTGTCCGCACAATATTGATACACTCGCGCACCGGACCGCCCGGCAGGAATTGAAGCAGCGATTGAAGACGGTTGAGGATGAACCGCCGGCCAGAAGCTACCCCGACAGCCTGGCTGGAGAAGAAAGCCTCCGGAGAGAGGTGCGTAGCTTCCTTGCCTTCCTTAGGATCAGACAAGCCTGGACACCGAAGCTCACTGCAGCACGCAACGAGAAGGAAAGGCTGAAAGTCGCGCGTACCGGAATCAGCGGGGAGCGATATGAGCATGTCGATGGTGTTCAATGCATACTTTGTCAGCCAAGCATTGCAGACAGCCGGAGCGAACTCTTCCAATTCTCCGAGCCGATTTGCCTCCTCATGTGGCGCCTCTGTCCCCCTTTCCGCCATCGTCATCCGAATTATATCTGTCGCTGCCCCTGTGTTTATACCGGTTTGTGCTCCGATACTGTCTTCGGGCCACGCCGGAAGGTCAACACCAGAGACATGCAATCTGGCTTGGAGAACGTCTGGAAACACTCGGTATAGCTGAAGGAGGCCAACCCTACTGTACACGTTGGCTAAGAGTAGGAGATGCCAAGTGGGTGTCTTTTGGTCGCCAGTATCAGCGATCTCCGTCTCTTCAGCGAATCTAATGTTGAAGAGCGTTTCTTCCAGCTCGATCGCTTCCTCTGCCTCCCTTTGTAACTCTTTGATGGTTGCCTGCGTAGTAAAAGACCGGGAATATGCGCGGCGGCGATTTTTGCGAACAAGCCGGCCAACTCTGGTTAAAAGGATCTGGACATTACGGGCGATGCCAGTCCAGGGATGCGGAACGTGGCGCCTCGGGAAGACAGTCAGATGATCCTCCGAGGCGAGATTGCTACGCCGTATTCTGTCAGCATAGATCTCATCAGTGATCTTTTGTAGCTGATCTGAAGGCAAATCAAAGGAATACAATTAAAGACTGACCTTGCTAACGACAATGGCCCATCTAGCTTGTTATCGTCTACGACGAAGGACAGCAGCATCTCCCAGCAGATCAGAGCCTCTTGGAAAAACAAGCTGTTATGGCCATTGCTTGTTAGTTGACCTGTGGCCGTCATACGGTTATAGTTTGATCGAAAGACGTTGAAGTAACTTGCGCCAGTGTCTCGAGAGTTGAACCAACTTGCCGTTCCGCCTACCATAAGCAATGCAAGGAGTGACTTCTCATCGATGGCCATGGCCATGTCTGGCTTAATGGACACAGTGGCCATCGCTCTGAGGTCCTTCGCCACGGTCGCCATATTTGGATAGATATCAGCCAGAGATATTGCAGCCATGCTCTGTAGGGCGTAGTATATCGGCTCAGAGAAGCTCCACACATTAGCAACCGTTGTCTTGAAGGGATTCATATCACTGTCGTAGAGCGACATGATTTGCGCAGTGTCTCGGAAATATGCCTCAACCAAAATTGAAGAGGTGTCTCGGAGTGACTTATTCATCAATTGCTTGGAACTCTTGTCATTCACGTGAATGTCTCGTTGTCCATTCAGCATTGTTGGCACCTCTTCCACATCTGACTCTGGGGCTTGCTCTTGTGTTGCCTGCGGTTCAGGTTCTGGCTCTGATATAATTGCTGCTGAAGTTGCCGTTTCGGCTGGTTCTGTGGCCGGCTCTCTTTGCGCTATGACGGCTGGGTCCGTAGGGAATTTATGGCATGCAGGGGAATCCCTGGTAGGAATCCCTTGTGACAAATGGTTGCTTACCATTGTTGACAGCTGCGCGTTCGTCAAGATCTGTTCTAGCATCTCGGGATGCTGGTCCCACGAGAAGGCGGAGAGCGAGAAGTCGTCGTTGAAGAGTGATTGAGGCATGAATGCACTAATTTCTTCATCGAACCAATTGGTGTCAGTAGACAAGTCCATCTCCCAAGACCCGCACACCTCTCCCTGGATCGGATTGGCCTCGGCCAGTCCTCCAGTACCTGATACCAACGAAGAATCATCTTGTACTGGTTGATATGAGCCGCTGCAGCTATCCGAAGTCCCCGATTGTGCCTCTGTTGATGCATTGCAAGGCAAGAGTGGCTCACAGCGGGGAGATTGCTGCACTGTTGGCACCCTTGCTCGCTTCTTTGTTATAGTGGCGCCGGCACTGGTACCAACAGCGCCATCTTCAGCATCTTCCCTTCTGCCTCCAAAAACTTCGTGCTTGTTGCTCCACCTCAGCCTTAGGCTGGGACCGCTACAGGAGAGTCGCAGACGTTTGCAACGACCACACACTGGCGTTTGCTCATCACATTTGGTCTGGCGATGTTTAGTTAATGGCCTATGGCCTAGTCGCCAAGTCAGCTTCGGGAATGCGGACAGCTTACCTTTTGGGCTTTACAATGATTGCAGCCAGAACGCGACCTCGCCATCCGGCCCATTGCTAATGTTCTGTATTACAGGTTCGAGAAGGTCAGAAAATGTAGCAAGCAGAAGGTTGTCGGTCGTTGTTGTGCTTCGTGAACCAATGTTGTAAAGATGAGGAAACTTGCAGGAGTACGACGGCGAAATAGAAGATCTTCTTTCGTAATGTACTGTACTCCACGTCCACTAAACCAGGCCGGGCTTAGTAAATTTTGCCCACTGCCGCTATCGACATGTCTGTGCCAGGCGATTGGATACAAACTATCCCTTTAACCAGCATAGCCCTTATCCAATGTAGCTAGCTCCACTCAATCCCACGTACGGCATAGCTACATTGTGACATAGTTTAGATGCATTCGTAAATTGATAGGCACTTATCCATTTGAGCCCCTAAGTGTGGCTTTGAAAAAGGGCTATGCCGGTCGCCACTCTTGACTGTTCATAGGGAGTCACTTCAAATGAAGGGCGATTGCCACAGAATCAACTCTAGAAGCCTCTTAACATCAGTTTAGGTGTTTCGAAATATGGCTACTTTATGTTCGCAGTTTTCACGGCAACCTTTCGACAGTATAGCCCTCAGCAATTGTTTGGTGATAGATGAGACTTTTCAAAGACTATGCTGCAAATGATCATGAATTTATGCGTAAACAGGTACTTAGTTTGTCATGGCTGCTGCTTCTCCCTCCGCATTCATAGCTGAGCGGTAAACCTTCTTGCCGCGGGAGAACCAATCAATAGAGATAATAATGCCAACCAGTCCGTAGATAGCACAAACGTAATTCATATCTGCAAATAGTAAAAAAGCGTATTAGTTTATACTGTTCATAACAAGTCTGACAAGATCGAGGCACTAAGAACAGAGGTGACCAAAGCCATAAGATGAACTCACTACCAGTAGAAACGGGCATGACGGCCGGAAAGGAGTAGAAAACAAGAGTGAAGATAATCCACAGCAGCGCCACGATGTTGCAGACGAGGCCCAATCTGCCTAGCCAGAAAGGTCCATGGATAAGATTTGTTCGTCCATGGTAGAGAAGCGAAAGTATTGGCACAGCGTATGACAGGTTTGGGAAGACGATGCAGGCAATAATCATGGCGTTGAAGGCCGTCGTCGACGCCATATAGATACAGCCTACTATTGCCACCAGGGCTGTATTTGTCATGTGTGCCGCCAAGGGAACGTCTAGTCGGCTGTCAACCATTTCGAGGCGTGAGTGGAACGGAACACCGCCGTCGCGTGCAAACGACCAGAGAAGGCGGGATGACCACGTCTGACAACCCATAAGGCAGCCCACTCCTGTAGCGATGATGAGACTCTCAAGAACGACTGCCCCTGCTGTTGCCGGACAGACTTGTGAGAAAAGCTCGATAATGGGCACGGCAGCTTCGAGGAACTTTTCGATCGACTGAATGCTGAAGAGCATCGCGATAAGAAAACAGAACGATGTTACAAAGCCGATAACCACAACTGCGACGATAACAAGTGGAATAACCCTCTCGGGATGTGCTGTTTCCTCGGCCAAGTGAACAGCCGAGTCCAAGCAGCTGAAGCCCCAGTTGGCGTTTATCAGGCCTACAGCAAACGCCATGAAGTTGTTACTCCATCCCGTCAGGTTGGTGAATGTGGCGAAAACAAATGTCGCTGGCTGATGTTTATCCGCCACAGCAGGAACAGTAACTAGTATCGCGCCGAAAGAGGCCAGGCTGACGAGGAGGAACACTTGCCCAAGCTTGGGAAGAATTGGGCCATAGCAGTTGAAGGCAAAGACAAACATGTTGAAGACTTGGAAGGCGACAAAGACATGCCATGTCTGGGGAACACTGATTAGGCAATGGTTAGCTGAAGTTGAGCTTGGGAGGAAGGACAGCGAGGAAGAAAGAAGCTTGCATACAAATCGGGATGGGTCAATGCATATGTCCCAACGAGAGCAGATCCCATGGCGGATGCCACACTGGTACAGGCAAACACGGATCCGACCCAGATAAGCCACCCGGTGGTGTAACTAGCTTGCCGAGCGATGCTTGCCGGTGCAAGCTCCCGGACCCAGAAGGACTGGCCCGTTGCGTTTGGATAGGCACTAACAAGCTCGCCGAGAGACACAGCGATGGCTAGGGAGACAATAAAGAGTAGAGTGGTACCGTAGAGAAGCAATGCTGAGCCTCCCGAGCCGAGTCCGGTAACGAGAGCCGCAGAGACGCACCACCAAGAATTAGTTAAAGAGAAGCAAATTCCAATAAGGCCGAATAGAGAGAATTTGCGTTCTAGAGTTTGTACATAGCCCATAGACTGGAGACGGTCAACATCACCCTCGGTATAAGAAGCAATGTCTCCTTCGGCAGCCGCCGAAGCCGCGGAGTTGACCTCCATCTTGTTCGATTTATCCATGGTATAATGAATTAGAAGAAAGACCTCTGGATTCTCTTTGGTTGATAGCTTTGAGAGTACTGCGAGTAAAGAGAGCAGCTCGTGTGTTGCAGAGGTCAAGATCAAAGCCACGACAGAAGAGAATGGTCGGAGACAGGTTGAGCATAAGTAGTGCCATCAACTCGGGAGGTGCCGGTCACAACAATTCCGGGGGAGCGCATGGGGTCAGATAGGGATTTCTGGCTGGACTAGAATCCGGGGTTGCTCCAGATCGTGAATGCAGCCATGCCTGTCTAGATCGGCAAAACTTGGTTTGAGCGTATCTGCTATCTAGAGATCATTCATGAGCTCCATGTTAATAAAAAACTATGTTCGCCTTATCTCTCCTAGATGGGAGTTCTTATGCGGTCCCAGTCGCCCCTAGTTGATCTCAACTACCGGGGGCTTCAACCAATGGGCACTGGTTTAAAAACTTCCGTTTTAGGCAAGTTGGGGCGGACCCATAGATATGAGGTCAGCCACCATCGACTAATGTGACGTTAAATGTCTTTGATAAGGATAATTGCCATTTTGAATTCCATTACCATAAGGTAGTTCATTGCAGATGGTCAGATGGTCACGAGACGAAAGGATTTAGAACAACTTATAGTCGCGAACAAAGGCAGACTTTTGGTATAAGTTGTATATAGACGAAGGAGTTTTTCCTTCGATTCGGTTTTTAGTGCACACTCAATCGAAATCGTCAGCATTTCCATCACCATGGCGCTCCTGGAACAGTTGAATCCGACAGTTGTTTACACAGCAGCTATTGCATTTCTTCTATTCAAGTTCGTTATTTACCCTTCCCTGCTCTCCCCCCTTGCCAAGATCCCCGCAGCACGATGGCACGCCCGGTTCAGCCCTCTGTTCAGCTGGTACATCAAATACTACAAACTCGAGAATATCACCGTCTTCACGCTTCACCAGAAATATGGGCCCATCGTCAGGCTTGGACCCAAGGAGCTAAGCATTAATTGCTATGAAGGAGGTCTCAAGACTGTCTACACCGGTGACTTCCCCAAGACGGAATTCTACCCTCGGAGCTTTTCGCATTATGGGTGAGTTTCTGCACAATAGCCACCGCTACCTCTCACATTGTCTAACGGAGTCCTCTCCTTTTCAGTCTGCCCAACATGATTGCGCACACAGACAGCAACCGGCACGCCGTAAAAAGGAAGATGCTCTCCAAGGTCTACTCCAAATCTTACGCCTTGAGCAGTACTACCAGGCGCGTGACCACATTGGCCGTCCTGTTCGATCGCCTGGTACCATTTCTACAAGCCAAGGTCGACGCCCAACAGCCAGTGGAGATTCTAAAGCTGAGCTACGCATACTCCATGGACTCGTTCATGACGTATCAGTTCGGTGTCTCGGAGGGCAGCAACGCCATTCTTGATGAATCATTCTTGAATTGGTATCTCGATAACTTCTTTGCCCCCCGACCCTGGGCTTTCTGGATCATAGAGCAGCCCAATATTGCCAAGTTTCTGAGTTATTTTGGCATCCGTCTCGTACCCAAGAAGGCTGCTGATGCTACGAACGCGCTTGAGGCATGGCACCTTGAGGTTTGTGACCGTTCGGAAAAGGCTCTTCAAAACTCAAATGATGGAGACGAGCTTGAGGCTTCTGACTATCCCATTGTGTATAGCACGGTGCGCAGCAAGCATCGGGAATTGGACGCCAAGTCAGGCTATAATGCCAAAGAGAAGCAGGTTTATCCCCGTCGTCTCGAGCTGGCAAGCGAAATGTGCGATAATGTCGCCGCCGCCTTTGAAACAAGTGGCAACACCATCACATGGCTCACGTACGAGTTGTGTCGTCGCCCTGAATTCCAGACTCGTCTTCGCGCCGAGCTGGCTACTCTTTCGCAACCTATCGACGACGTGGACTTGTCTGCTGCTAGCGATGCATTCCCCGACTTTAAAGATCTTGATAGCCTCCCATTCCTCGACGCCATTTTATACGAGACGATGCGTCTATGGCCTGCTGCGCCTGGCTTCCAGCCCCGCCAGACGCCTTCCGGAGGTGCTGTCCTTGCAGGTTATCATAACATCCCCGGCGGTGTCCGCGTTCAAGCAAGCGCCTACAGTCTGCACAGAAACAAAGAGGTCTTCCCAGAACCAGAGACCTGGCGACCTGATCGCTGGCTGGAAGCAACTCCTGACCAGCTTGCGGAGATGCGCCGCTGGTTCTGGGCCTTTGGAAGTGGAAGCCATACATGTCTGGGTAACCACCTCGCCATGTTGTGTAAGCCGCCCCCACCAACTCTTTATGCAAGGACCTGAAAGCTGACCTGACATCACTAGCCATGAAAGCTGCAATTGCTACAATATACAGTCGCTATCATTCGGTCATTTACGACGCCGAGGGTATTGAGCAAGATGATGGGTTTGTAGCCGGCCCTAAGGGGCAGAAGCTTTGGGTGCGGCTAAGACCTTGGGACACGCCACTGTGCTCATGAATCAAGGAGTGACCTGTTTAACCGATATGTGGTCCTTGAGATAATTCTATTCCTTGTAAATGTATAACGGGTTTTCTTATGTTGTATTATATAATTTATAGTAAAAATAAAGAAATCTAGTTAGACTATTTTATAAGAAATAGAAAGAAAGATAATATTACTTTATTTATTAACCTTAAAGTTTAAGAAAGGGAAAGAGTTTAAAAATATAATATTATATTTAATTTCTTTAATAACCTAAATATTATATATATAGTTATTAATAAAAAGAAAAGTAAACCTAAGTGGTTTAGTTAACTAAAAATAATATAAGTCCTTTAAGGTATATATAATAAGAAATAACTTTAAGCTATTATAAATTAGTTAATATAAGGAGATAATAATAATAAAAAGAGTAAAAGAGCTTATTAATATAAGGATTTAATTATTCTTATAATATAGTTAATAAGTAAGTAGGTTATCTAAGTAAGTAAGTTATTTTCCTTAATCTTTTTAACTTATAGCTTAAAAAGCTTAAGCTAGAATTTAAAAAGGCTAGCTTTTACTTATTAAATTCCTCCTTAAATAACTTAAGAACTACCTAGTAAGTCCTTATATTATACCTGCCCTTATTATATATACTATAGTATTAACTACCTAGTTATTTTAATTTTCTTTAATTACTACTTCTTAATAATTTAGCTATTACTTATATATTAATATTAATTTAATTAATTACTTATAATACTTCCTATATAATTATAATCCCTCCTTTTTATAATTTAATCCTTTTTATTTTATAATATTAACTTAATATTTTATTTATATCTTAAAGATTATAAAGCTTAGCCCTTAATAAAATAACCTTATATATAATTACCTTTATTACCTTAGTAATTAACTTTAAAACTTTAATAATAAACTTTAAGAAATTATTATTTCTTTTTTTTTAAGTTTATAAGTTAGCCTTAAAAAGTATATCTAAGTATCTCTAAAGTCTAATATAATTTAAATATTTATTACCTCTTAGTAGATAAAGCTTTATTAAGTTAATATTATTATAATTAGCTGCCTTAATTATAGCCTAAACCTAGCTATATATAACCTAGCTAAAGGGCCTTACTTTTTAGCTAGCCCTAATCTTCTTCCTATAATTTACTTTAAAGGCCACTTTATTACTAACCCCTGCAGATATTATACTTAAATTATCTACTGCCTAGTAAGTAATATAATTTAACTTCTTCTTTATATACCTTATAATTATAACTACTAATAGTATTATAGCTTTACTATTATAATACTTAGAAGAAGCTTATAGGCACCTAATCCTAATAAGCCTTATCTAATAAAAGGCTATAATATAACCTATAAAATTAAATAAGCTATTAAGAAAGATAATTATAATAAGCTTTATAATATAATAATAAAAATTAAAATAAACTAAGGAAAAGAGGATAATATTAATTATATTAAATTAGTAATCTTTAGTTATAAGATCCTCCTGCTTATATAGCCTTATTATTAGCTAATTAATAAAGGCTTCCTTAATTATAAGATAAAGCTGCTTTATAAGCTAAAAGGGAAGTTACTTAGAGGGGTAAATCTAAGCTAGAAGGAAAAGGAATTTATTAAGGCCTTTTATAGTAGCTTATATAATAAGTAGCTTAAGGCTATTTAGTAGTAGGCTAAGAAGGTATTAGAGAAGACTAAGCCTTAATAATATATAATCTAGGATAAAAGAGGGGTAATTATAGGGTTTAGAGAAATAAGAAGAAAATATATTAAGTTTTTTATAAGTTTAATTACTTAAAGTTAAAGACCTAAAGTTATAATATTAGTATTAGTAGTATAAAGAGGGTTAAATAAGTTATAAGATATAATATATAATAGATTTAATAAATTAGCTAAATATTAGTATATTATTAATATAAATAGGGGATTATATAATTATATTAGTAGCTAAATAGCCTTTAATATTATAGTAATTAGGTTTATTTTATTTATATTAATAATATATTAATATTTAATTAATTTATTAAATTTATTATATATTATATCTTATAACTTATTTAACCCTTTTTATATTACTAATACTAATAATCTTTAACTTTAAGTAATTAAACTTATAAAAGACTTAATATATTTTCTTTTTATTTCTTTAATTTATAAGTAAAACCTTATAATTACCTCTTTTTTATTTTAAATTATATATTATTAAAGTTTAATTTTCTTTAATACCTTCTTAGCCTATTATTAAATAGCCTTAAGCTACTTATTATATAAATTATTATAAAAGGCTTTAATAAATTTACTTTCTCTTTAGCTTAAATTTACCTCTTTAAGTAATTTTTCTTTTAGCTTATAAAATAGCTTTATCTTATAATTAAAAAATCCTTTATTTATTAATTAATAATAAGATTATATAAGTAAAAATATTTTATATTTAAAGATTATTAATTTAATATAATTATTATTATTTTATTTTCTTTAATTTATTTTAAATTTTATTATTATTCTTTTAAGTTTATAAGCTAGCTTTAAAAGAATATATTTAAATATCTTTAAAATCTAATATAATTTAAATATTTATTACCTCTTAGTAGGTAAAGCTTTATTAA